GAGAGAGGGAGAGAGAGAGAGAGAGAGAGAGAGAAAGAGAGAGAGAGAGAAAGAGAGAGAGAGAGAGAGAGAGAGAGAGATATGTGAACTCACTGTACTGTAATTACAGGGAAGCAACAGGTGCCAGCAGTAATGACTTTTGTCATGGATCATAAGTCATCATTTTTTCCTGGGTCATGAGTTATTATTTGTAGTTGTTTAGGAGACGAGATTTTCTATCATTTATGTCATGAGTCATCTAAATTATGATTTCACATTTGGCTTTACTGATGTAGGTGGAAAATGTTTTTTCCTAGGGAGAGAAAGTATTGAGCAGACTCCCTTTGCAGTAATTTTGACGCAAAAATCTTTAAAACATGTAAAATTTTCCTTTATTACTATGAAACATGTATTGTATATAAAATGAATGCAATTGACAACACATGATGCAAAGATGTTGAAAAGATGGCATACAATATACCTTTTCTTTCTGATCTAGGTCATGAACTAGACTCAACAGTCATAATATATCAGTTTAAGTTATACAACAGTGGAGTACATGTGCTAGATCTTTGGCCTTGCACAATTTTGAAAATAAATAAAGAGTTTAATGCCCTGTTAGACACAGAACTGGTGGAATAAAAGTCAGATCCCATGATCATTTGTCTTGGAAGTTACTTTGAGAGGAAATTTTTCAAAGCTCCCTAATCTCAAGCGTATCCTAAGAATGAGAAAATGTTCTGATTACCCCTTTCTCTTAAGAGTTGGACCTGGATCTCCTGGAGGATATTGCCCAAATTGGTGGCCAGCTGAACCACACCCTCTGCCTTTCATGTTTGTGAGCCATTTTCTTGTATCAAAGTTCTCAATACCCTCTTGAGGACCCCGGCACCAATCATCAAGTACCAACACTTGACTGTTATGAAAAAGTATGAAGTAGGCTACTTCTCACTGAGACTCTGAAATAAGGACCCTGTTCAGGACCAGGGGAGCTTGGATCCCTATCCTCTAGCATATTGTGTGCCTAAGATGTTAGAGGTAAATTGTAAAATTCATTCAAATATTCAAAGACTAGTATACATTCATAATAAATATAATCTTGTTGCAGTTACTATTCAAGTGACTCGAAAATGAAACAACACCATACATTTGGGGACCCTGGCATTGTACTGTCAAATTTTGAACTGATTTTGGAGGACTCATCAGTACTTGTACTTGATTAAATTTTTTTTTTTTTTGGGGGGTTTGTTTGGGTATTTTGTTTCTGGATTTGGTTTATTCATTCCACTCAACAGCTCAAGATTTTCTACCGTTTATGTCATGAATACTTGCTTAACTTTGCCAGTTTGTTCAATTGTCTTTGTACCCGGGTGGTTGGCGCGTGCTCTTGTGTGGTTTGCTCCTTCTTTCCTATCAAACAATTATCTTTATCTCTCCTTTTTTTTAATTGTGTTCGTTGCTTTCTTGAAATACCTCTATTCTGTTGACACCCTCCCCTTGGCTCTCATATGACCTTATGCAGTTGTGAGCGCCGTAAAACCCTCTACTATATATCATAAACTCTAATCTTCAGCACTTGTATGACCTTATTGTGTTGCGAGTGCCGTAAAAGGCTCACTAAAACAAATTGTGTTTGTCATATGTCTTGCAGGAAGTTAAAGTGCCGTTAAACGCTCACTAAAACAAATTGTCTTTGTCGTATGTCTTGTAGGAAGTTAAAGGGCACCGCTAGGAGGGCCGACTTTTTTTTTCTTTCCTTCCATTGTTTCTGTCTCGTTATTTCTGTGCTCTGCGGTATATATAGCTGTTGTCCTCCTTATGCGGTTGTGAGCGCCATAAAACCTCTACTAAAACTATAACTCAACTTGCTGTTGCCGTATTGATGTGCTTCTCTTTGTGCAAACTCTAGTACTAGTAGGCCTGATATTGTTACCGAGCACCTGAAAGGATGGCGCGACATGGTGGAATCGGGCGCTCGTCAATTTTGGGACATGTGGAGTTATTGGTATCACCTTGAAGCCTGTCCACTTGCCTTGCTTTTGAGAAAAAAAGATCCATCTATGTTGGATACAAGTTGAGATATTGACGATTGAAGGAGGTGGGGTCGCCTGGTTTCAGAGGTAAAATTAGCGAGAAAATGTCCGGCAAAGTTGAGTTATTTCTTAAGCTTGAGAATCCGTGGAAACTGAAAATGTACATTTTTTCTGCCTTTAACTTTAATCGTTTTTCTTTAAAATCTACGCAGAAATGTGTTCTTTAATTGGGATGAAGGGTTTTGAGCCAAAAAACAAAAAACTAGATGAAAATGTCTAAACTTGCGGAAAAATGCCAATTTCTTGACTTTCATTCTTTTGACGAGTGCCTAAATTTCACCACACTGCCTCACAAATCATTTTGACGCGTTTCGTTCTTCAATGTGGGGGTCCGTGTTTGATGTTCAAAGAGAAGGTTGAAAAAAAAACAGTCTTCCTTGTTATAGGAAAGCTTTAATCCACAGGTGCTTCTGTCAGCTTTGCTAGGATGTTGGGAATGTGGGTGGTTGGCGGGTGCTCTGGTGTGGTTTGCTTCGTCTTTCCTATGAAACATCTATCATCCTTATCTCCCCTTCTTTTTTGTGTTTGTTACTCTCTTGTAACACCTCTAATCTTCTGGCTCTCATATGACCTTATGCAGTTGCGAGCGCCGAAAAACCTCTACTAAAACTAAGATGTTGTGAATAGGATTTTTGTGAAATTGTGAAAGATTTGCTATTGTCTAATGGTTCACAGCGTTTATAGCAGCTTTGAGATGATTTTGGGGTATCGGTTAATTTTGTAGACTAAACTGTTTTTTGTATTGGCTAATTGATGTGTAGACTATTTTGGTATCGTCTAATCTACAGGCTATTTTCACATCGGCTTATATGTCCCCGTCGTTTTATGCTAGAAAAATTCTGAAATTATGCAAACTGAGCCCTAAAATGTGAAATTATGCGATTCCGCTAATTTTAACGAAGAATGATAAAGGAAAATAATCAGAAGTTATGCAAAAAATGATCAAATTGTGCTAATAAATTATGCGGGGTGCATAAAACTAAAACAACGGGGACTGGCTTTTCTGCTTCCCTACAGTGTGGTTTATCTTTATCTGTACTTGACCCCTGGGCAATCAATGGACACTTGAGCGTTGCCTGAACATAAAATGTACTTTTTTTCTGTTCAATGATCATGATTTAGTCTTGGGCGTTGCCTGAACATAAAATGTACTTTTTTTCT